CATGGAATATTACTCAGCCATTAAAAAGAATTCATTTGAATCAGTTCTAATGAGATGGATGAAACTGGAGCCCATTATACAGAGTGAAGTAAGCCAGAAAGATAAAGATCAATACAGTATACTAATGCATATGTATGGAACTTAGAAAGATGGTAATGATAACCCTATATGCAAAACAGAAAAAGAGACACAGATGTACAGAACAGACTTTGGGACTCTGGGAGAAGGTGAGGGTGGGATGTTTTGAGAGAACAGCATTGAAACATGTATATTATCTAGGGTGAAACAGATCATCAGCCCAGGTTGGATGCATTAGACAAGTGCTCAGGGCTGGTGCACTGGGAAGACCCAGAGGGATGGGGTGGAGAGGGAGGTGGGAGGGGGGATCGGGATGCGGAGTACATGTAAATCCATTGCTGATTCATGTCAGTGTATGGCAAAAACCACTACAATATTTTAAAAAAGTAAAATAAAATAAAAAATAAAAAGAAAGGTAATGTTAAAAAAATAAAATAAAATAAAATAAAATCCTAGAAATTAAAACAAGCAGTACAAAATTATGATGTAAATTCCCCGTATATGGTGGGAATAGTTCAAGGTGTGGCAGAGGGCAATGGCTTCATTCCAGCAGATTGGTCGACATTAGCAAAAACAGTCTTAGCTGTGGTGGCCAAAGGATGAAAGAGCAGATAACGAAGGAGGGTCTTGGAATGCAGGAATGGAAAAACCAGACCTTATGTCCTTCCCTCCCCCATGTAGTAACTATTAATGGGGCAGTATAACCTGTCTCCCCTCCTACCTCATTTGGAGGAGTGGAGGAGGTATTTACCTTACTGTTCCCCCCCAGCACCCCCTCCCAAGTATACGTGCCTCATCCAATCAGCAAATGACCCACAAGACCCCTATCCCACTCCTTGTACCCTGGGTATAAAAGTGGACTAAGGACTCCCATTCAACATTGGTTCTCCCTTGAGCTGACCCACTGTTTTAACTGCGTCTCCCATTCTAATAAACTTTATTTCCCTCTCACTCTGTCTCATGTCTGGCAATTCTTTGCCAATGCAGACCATGACATTAGCCCCAGGGGGAATTTCTTCAAGGGGAATTTCTTATTTAGAACTTGGTGGCAAGATCATGCTGAGACTTTGACTGCACATAGTCATATTCATAATATCCCTATTTTGTTGGAAAAACTTATGGGGATAGGTCCATGAGGGAGAGTATAAGATCAAATACGTATGAATGATCAAGCCATAGAACAAATGTGAAGATGTTGCTTGAGGGCCTGGGAAAAAATAGAGCCAAAAAGCGAGACTTCTGTTTCCTTTAAAAAAATTGTCCAGGATCCTAAGAAGCCCTATACTGAATTTATTGCCTGATAATGAGAGGCGAACCGCCAGCAAGTTACAAATGCTGAGGCGGCAGATGTCATATTACAATTGTTGGCTTATGATAATGCTAACACTGATTACAAGAAGGTAATGAACCCTTTCAAAGGAAAAGTTAGTTTGAATGATTATGTTAAACTATGCCAGGGAGTAAGAACTATTAGGTAGTTAGAATAGGAAAAAGGAATCCAAAATGGTGGTGGCTAAAAGAAAAAGAAGGGAAAAGCCTGCAAAAATAGAACAAAGGAAGGTCCGAGGACTGGAGTGTAGACCTCAGGTAACACAAACAGCTCTCCTGGTTAGCCCAATTTATATAGGGTAGGGTCAGGGGGAGAAGAAATAACATATAAAAAGACGAGCCAAAATTGAGGTGGGGTGGGGTGGGGGGTGGGAGAGTGGTTTTCTTCTCTTTGCATCTTTTGGGTCAGCCCTCCCTCACACCTCAAGGATGTATTTTCCTTTGCTTGCCAATAAAACTGAGCTATAACACTGGTCCATCCGTCACTTCAAATTTTTGCTGTGGTGAGACAGAACCAAGGAAATTACAAACTTCCCCAACAGAACCAAATCCTTCAGAGCTAATTTATTAGCTCAAGCTATGGCTGGATTATAACTTCCTAAATTCCCTGATTCTTGTTTTGATTGTGGGAAACCTGGACATACTAGAGTTGAATGTAAGTTGGAAAAGGGGAACTTTCAAAAGAGTAATTCACAAAGAAAAATGTCCCTGGCCTCTGCCCAAAATGTTAAAAAAAGAAGCCATTCTGAATTTCATAAGGATGGCCCCTTTTGGGAAATGGCCTCCGGGGCAATCTCCCAGCCCCAAGAAACAAGGGAGCCTATCCTGTTCAGACTCCACAAATGTTTTTCCCAACTACTCCCACCAGGAACAACAACAGTCAGAATTACCATGCTGTGTCATGGAATTAAAATATGCTTACTCCTTGGAAGGAAAGTTATGATCAAACTAGACAGCATATTAAAAAGCAGAGACATTACTTGGCCAACAAAGGTCTGTCTAGTCTAGGCTACGGTTTTTCCAGTGGTCATGGATGGATGTGAGAGTTGGACTATAAAGAAAGTTGAGCACTGAAGAATTGATTCTTTTGAACTGTGGTGTTAGAGAAGACTCCTGAGAGTCCCTTGGACTGCAAGGAGATCCAACCAGTCCATCCTAAAAGAAATCAATCCTGAATATTCATTGGAAGGACTGATGTTGAAGCTGAAACTCCAATGTTTTGGTCACCTGATGTGAAGAGCTGACTCATTTGAAAAGACCCGATGCTGGGAAAGATTGAAGGTGGGAGGAGAAGGGGACGACAAAGGGTGAGATGGTTGGATAGCATCACCATTTCAATGGACATGAGTTTGAGTAAACTCCAGGAGTTGGTGATGGACTGGGAAGTCTGGAATGCTGCAGTCTATGGGATTTCAAAGAGTCAGACATGCCTGAGAGACTAAACTGAACTGACTGAACTGTCATGGAATTATTCCCAGCAACCCAAGGAAACACAGCCCTTGATATAAGTAGTAATCAGGATATTATTGTTACTCCTGGAGAGATACCAACTATCATTTCAACAGGAATATTTGGACCACTTCAACAGGGGACTGTTGGATTATAGTTAGGAAGATTGGGGCTAACTTCCCAGGGAGTTCAAATTCATACCAGAGTTATAGACAATGATTAGGAAGGCAAATTGAAGGTTATGGTCTCTACCACTCTTCTCTGGAAGGTTTCTAAAGGGGATAGAATTGCTCAGCTTTTAATTCTACCTTATGTGGGTATAGGACATTCAGACAAAAAGTGGGGCTCTGGGGGACTTGGAAGCACAGGCCATGCTGTTGGGGTCCTTTAATGGACCGGGACCTAGCAGTCCGGAGTCGATGATAAGAAAGTGAAAGAGAGAGCCGGAGGGGGAGAGAGAGAGAGAGACAGAGAGAGAGACAGAGAGAGAGACAGAGAGAGAGAGACGAAAGACATGGGGACCCAAGCTCTAATGGAGCAAAGGTGCTTTAATGATTTTTCTATGAGTATATATAGGCGTGGTACAAGATGTTTCTTACGACAATGATAAAGATCAGAAAACCAAATGTACAGTAACCGTTACCAAGGGAACAAAGGATAATAATGGTCACAAGATCAGGAGACAATCCATATTTCAAGAAAAGGGGGCGAGACTAAGCAGTTTTGTCAAAGAGAATGTTTTGCTAAAGGAGACCCAAGTCTGTCTCAATGACCTCAGTCCTGAGAGCTGCGTGCAGTTCTACTTGCTTCTGGCAGAAGCTGATAAGGAACAGAGGATTTATGAGAAACAGCACGTAGGAATCCTCCCATCAAACATTCCCTGATAATTCCCCCTTATTTATTTATAATATTTGTAAAAAGAGTTCTGACCGTAAGAGTTTATTTAGTTTTAACAATCTTTGCATGAAGGTAATGGTAGACGGCAAATATAGTTGTCAAGACAATTACTAAAATTACAGTTCCAGACCTGTAATTACAATTCCAGACCTGATGCTGTGAGTAATGCTTTGAAACCATCCTCGTGGGTCTAGCCTAGATAATTGATCAGCTAGTTGTTCAGCTAAAGTTTCCAAATCAGTGGAAGAGGGCAGATTATTAGGAAAGGTTTCAAATATTTCTTTTTGTAATAATTGTACATTCAGAGAGGCATTATCATGTATGTTTTGTAAGTGAAATTTAATTTGTTCCCAGTTGTAAGCATTATTGGATTGAACAGGAATAACACAAAATTGAGTAGAATTCCAATCACATTTTAGTATCACCTGTTTTTGTACATCTAATAATTTATCTCCAACCCATTTGATGGCTGTTTTTAGTTCCTGTATTTCATCTTGTATATCCTCATCTATTTGAGCCTGAGTGGCCCACATACTATGAGCATCTTTAGTCCAATTTTGGATAAAATTATGTGTTTGAATTGATGTTTGTAAAGCAACACCAGTGACAGCAGCAGAGGTGCAGATAGCTATTAATCTGAAAATGCCAAAAATCAGCCATCCAATGAATCATTTAGATCGCTGGAGCAGTTTAGTAAGTAACCGGGAAGCAAGTCCAGCCATGGGACCTTCTTCCCAGGGCCGCTGGAGATTTATTGGTAACCATAGATTATGTCAAGATTCAAGAATCAAAAGGGAGTCATTTCTCAAGGAAATAGAGGAATTAAGACAAGTATATAATTTACAATTTATGTAAGTTAAAAAACGTACAGTCTTATTGAATTGTAAATTTCCTATAGCTACAACAAAAGGAAGTGGAACATAGGCTTGTATAAAATATGATTGATTATAGTGAAAGAAATAATTGCCATAGCTACGATTGGTCCCTGTGAAATGTCTGGTCCAAGTCCCAAGTTCTTCAGTGTTCACAGCAAGTTTCCAGATGTCCCATTGTTCAGGCCCAATCTGTTTATCAAGGACGATTCGAGGATGAGGGGGGCCATTCCACTGTCAAGCCACCCAAGAAGTCCTCTGTCATGGTAATGCTCCATTGTAGTATTAGTAACCTCCCATGGTACTTGAGTAGCATAATCACACATAGTGCTGTTAATATCATCTGAGCAGCTAGATAACCACATACCATGGGGTCCCCAATTGACAATTGCATGATTAGCCACAAACATTAATTGCCCTGATTTGGCCTGACATTTGCCCCAATGAACAGGATTATATTTAAAGTTCTTATTAGTAAACCCTTTGCGTAGGGTTCTTTGTTCTTTCTTTAATTCTTTCTCTAAAGTTTCAGTAGTATAAACATGATTCACGGACAAAGAAAGGGCAGTAAATAATCGAAGCAGCATCTGAAAGTCCTCTTTTAGAGGCAGGGCAAAAGCCCAAGTTTGTTGGCTAATGTTTATGCGTAATTCTGTTGGGCCCATACACAAAGGAAGGACTTCATAACCTAGAGAGATATTAATTAGTTTTTCTTCTTCAGGATAAGAGGGCCCCTTTAAGTTCCAAGGAAGGGGCATATGTGTTGAGTCATTAGTGGATATGATTGATCTTATATCTGTCCATTTTATAACCTACAATAAAAAAGGGGGGTTAGGTATATAAGCCCAATAAGTGTGATCAATCAAATCAGCGTGAGCTGACTCAGGGAAGCAAATGCAAGCAAAGCAAGCATAGTGAAGAAAAATATTTTCAGGATTCCTAGAATTCCCTGTTGAGAAATCAGATTTTCAGCTTGATTAGTAAGGGTTTTTATCTGTCCCCAAGTAGGGAGATCATAAGGTCAATCACTTCGACTGTGGCAATTTTTGGAAATTTTAAAAGTTGCCATGACTTGTATTGGAATTCTTTCTTCCTGGGATTTTTGTTGTTTCACCTCTAATCTGAATGCTGGGGGCTCCCTTAGGCTGAATCTTCTGAAGAGGAAGTCATGTGAGTTCGTTGAATCCATCTGGAGAAATAGAAGCATGCCCCTTTCCCTGAAAGATTGGTTTCTTAGATTTCCATTGATTAGTTAACCCGTCTTGATATCAAATGGGCAAAGGAAGGGAGGTGTCCTTTAATGTTTCAAAATGTTTTTCTACTTTTGTCAAAACATCTCCTTGTGGTAAGTTTAAAAAATTTAAAACAAATAAGGCTATATTAACAATAGTTATAGAAAGAAAGGAAAGCAATAATGATGAAAACATTGCTAGGAAATATTTCAGTCCAAAAGAAAAAAAAAATCATCTAGAAATCTGTTTGGGACTGGTATTTGGCTGTGATTTTGAATTAAGCGGTTGATTTTCTTTCATTCAGTGCATACATTTTTCCTGATGTAAAAAGAAATGGGATCTGACTGTGTTTTAAGTGGTTTGTGTTATCTGGGGCAAAGGATTAGAGGTAAACATTCAAACATTTTTTCCTAAGTGGAATTATTAAAAAGCTGTTGCAGAACAAGTTGACAAATGAAATGTTGCTCACACCCAAATGTATCTGACCTCGTCCTCGGAGAACAGATGCAGCCTGGCAGCTGCTGACTCTCTGTTCAGCGTGTCAGGAAGTTGATCATACTTTCAAGAGAGACCTGGAAAGAAGGGGAATATTCTGCACTTTTGATACTCTTAGTAACAAATAACTTATTTGGGAAATGGTGTCTTTTTTATGTTGTTTTTGTTTTGTATTGTGAAACAGGCATTGAAGTTGATGTTTTGTTTTAAGAATCTTACAGACTGGAAACAGAAATCAGTAAGTTCAGTTCAGTCGCTCAGTCGTGTCCGACTCTTTGCGACTCCATGAACCGCAGCACGCCAGGCATCCCTGTCCATCACCAACTCCCGGAGTTTACGCAGACTCATGTCCATCGAGTCAGTGATGCCATCCAGCCATCTCATCCTCTGTCGTCCCCTTCTCCTCATGCCCCCAATCCCTCCCAGCATCAGGTCTTTTCCAATGAGTCAACTCTTTGCACGAGGTGGCCAAAGTATTGGAGTTTCAGCTTCAGCTTCAGTCCTTCCAATGAACACCCAGGACTGATCTCCTTTAGGATCTACTGGTTGGGTCTCCTTGCAGTCCAAAGGACTCTCAAGAGTTTTCAGAAATAAAGCTATGTTAATAATAGTTATAGGCTTAAAGAATATATTGCATTAAAATCTAGTAAAGTCTGTTTTGGATAAGGAAGAGAAAAGTGTTCCTGTGTATTTCCTCTTATTTTTTTATTTGCAGTTACAGTGTGTAATGTGTTTGTTTAATTATGTCTTGTGTTTGTGGATTATAAGGAATGTCTGTAATCTGTTTAATAGAGAATGAATGTAAAAATTGTTTGAACCGCTTAGAAATATAGGCAGGGCCATTGTCTGTTTTTATAGAATCAGGTGTTCTCATCGCAAAGTAAGTTGATAGTAAGTTATAACATGTTGTGTAGTTTTACCTTGGAAAGGTGTGGCCCCTAGAAAAGAAGAATTTGTATTGAGCGAGACATGTAAGAAGGAAGAGGAAGAAAGTTCAGGTCAATGAGTTACACCTATTTGCCATAAATTCTTTCATTTGTCATAAACCTTTTTTATATTTTTGTATTCATCATTTTATTTGCCATTTCTTATATCTTTTTATTAAAAGTGTATATCTTACTTTTCTTTAGCAACTATGAAGTGTCTTGTATGTTAGTATTTTATAGAGTGGTGAATATTTTGTTATATCACATTATATAATATATATGTTTATATTTATATAAACATATATATTTATATTTATAAATAGCTTAAAATCTCTTTAGTTTTTCTGTAAGAAAAACATTTTGTAAGAGGAAGTTAATGTTCAGTAATTAATGTTTTAAAATCTTACTTCATTTGGAAATGACCGAGTTATTTAATAAACTTTTATTATTTAGTTTAGTATAACTCCAGAAACTTAAGTTACCCCAATCCTAAGACATTGCTTTAGATTATAGTAATAGACTATTCTATTAAAACTATAGTTATCTTTAATACAGTTTATCTAAAAGTATTCATCTTTTATACATATATATAAAGAGTTACCTTTTTGTTGACAAATTTAGTTTACCTTAAACCTAGGCATAATAAAAGTATTATATAAAGTTGATGACTTAAGACATGTCTTAATTAGATTAACAAATAATTGTATTTAAATTAATATTTAAATAAACATTATATTTAATATTGAATATTTTTCAGTTCATGTGAAGTTGAATTTAAATAGAGCTTTTAACTTCATATTATCCAAAAACAAAGACATATATTGAGACATAGATAATTTTAGATAGATAGGCATAGTTTTCCGTTTGAACTTTAAAATATCTTTTTGTTTTATTTATTTATTTTGAGTTCCACCAATTTGCTTATGGCTGGAGTCCTAGATAGAGTGGACTGTGTATCCCAAGGACATGATAAGAGTTAACTTTAGATTTTTTCCTAGGCCTGTTTTTGTTTCCCAGGCAGAATTGAAGCTCCAAAAAAGTATTTTAACAAGTTAACCTTTTCCTAACTGCACGTGTAAAGAAGAAGCAGTTTTGCAATTTCAAAAAAGATTTTATTTTAATCAGTTTTCTCTGGAGTCTAAAGAATATCATGGCTATTCAGTGTCAAAAATATCATTTCTCCTTTTTTTAGTTATAGTATATTGTTAACGATATATGCATGAGGAAATTGCTGCCACATAGGAAGTAAAGCCTTGGCTACAAAATTTTGCCAAATACTAGGACTGTTGAGCATACCTTGAGGTAACATAGTCTACTGAAAACTTTTATGAGGCTCAATATGATTTGGATAAGGGAGAGAGAAAGTGAATCTCTTCTGGTCTAAAGGGTGTAAAGGTATATTAAAAAAGCAATCTTGTAAATCAGTAATAATAATGTACCAATTTTGAGGAATAGTAATAGGTGATGGGATCTCTGGTTGTAATGCACCCATAGGTTTTATAGATGCATTAACTTTTCTAAGGAAGGAAATGGCAACCCACTCCATTGTTCTTGCCTGGAGAATCCCAGGGATGGCGGAGCCTGGTGGGCTGCTGTCTGTGGGGTCACATGGAGTCGGACATGACTGCAGTGACTTAGCGGCAGCTAACTTTTCTAAGGTCTCAGAGACACCATTTGTTAGATTTCTTTTTTATAACAAAAATAGGAGAGTTCCAAGAAGAACAAGATTCCTCAATATGTTTCAATTCTAATTGTGTATCTATAAGCTCTTTAGTAGCTTGTAATTTTTCTTTTGTAAGGGGCCATTGCTCTGTCCAAATAGGCTCGTCATTTTTCTCAGTTATTTTAATAATTGCTTTGCTTGTTAAATGAGCAGTGGCCCCTAGGAAAAATGTGGAATGTACATCTGAGCTTGCCATTGCATAAGTAAGTCCCTTCCTATTAGATTAAGAGGTGCATCTATCATATAAGGTCTTAATGTTGTAGGTTGCCCTTTCGGTCTATCATATGAGTATATTTGAACATTTTGATAAATTTCTTGTACTTTGGTTTGAGAAATCCCTGCAATTTGGCAAGAGACCTTTTGTATAGGCCAGGATTTGGGCCATAAGTGTTTGGAAATAATAGTAATATTAGATCCAGTGCCAAGGAGACCAGAAAATCTTTTACCATTAATTTTGATTTTATATTTGATCGGGCATATTCAGATACCAATGTTGTCTATAAAGATTGTTTTTGATCTGTACTGCCAAATCCACCTGTCCATACATTATTAGAGGAGTTAATAGAAATGTAAGGCAAAAGAAGTAATTGAGCAATTTTGTCCCCCTTTTTGAATTGCCATAGAATCTGAGCTGACATCATAATTTGAATCTCTCCTTTATAATTTGAATCAATTATTCCAGGGTGAACAGTAAGTCCTTTAGAAGCCAAATTAGATCAGCCAAATAAAAGACTGAAGGTTTGTGGGGGCAGGGGGTCCAAAAAGTCCGGTAGGTACTCTAGAAGAGACTGCTTTAGGGTAAAGGAAAAAATCATTTAGGGCTGGTATATTGATGGCAGCACTGCCAGATGTTGAGGGTTTGAGGGAAAAAGATAGAATTTGCCCCTGGTTTTTGTTGTAGGGGATGGGGGGGGGGGGCTGTCTGGAGTTTCCTGGAATAGGTTTTCCTTCAATATCAAATTTAGATTTACAGTCTTTGGCCCAATGCATTCCTTTGTGGCAGTGAGGGCGAATTCTTGGACGTTTTTTATTCACCTTCTTAGGGCAGTCCCTTTTTCAATGGCTTTTATCTCCACATGTAAAGCATCCTTCATTTCCCTTTTTAAAGGGGGTAGCCATTGTTTCAGCTAGTATTTGCATCTTTTGGATTTTTGATCCTAGATTGTGATAAGCCTTCAAATAACCAATAATAGTCCCAGTCTCACAAGTGCAGCAATAGCTCTTTGACATTCCTGGTTTGCATTCTCATAAGCAAGTAATTTCTCTAGCTGTTTCTTGGTTTCTTCTCCGATTACAGTATAGGAAATAGCAGTTTCTAATCTAGCGAAAAAATTAGCATAATTTTCATTAGGTTCCAACAAAGGAGAGACTTTTGGAGTTGCACCTGTTGGCAGAGGAGGAGCATTTGGAGCAGCTGAGGCAGGGCTAGTAAGAAAATTTTGAAATATTTTATGCTGTTTTAATTGGGCCTTTTGTAAAGTTTTATCATTTAATTTATATTCATGTAATAGGTTTCTGTCTGTTGTCGAATATTGGAAGGGCTAGAATTTACCTTGAAATGGCAGAATTATAGCTTTAATGAGAGCCCATAGGGGCTAGAGATCAATTGGAATATTTTTTCCTTGTTTGGCGGCTCATTCAACATTTTCTTTGACCCGGTGCCAAATTTCTAAATCAAAACTACATTTACCAGGGAACCAAGGATTACATTTAACCACTGTTTGAAAGTAAGCCTCTATTCATTGGCGCGAAAACAAAGTCCCTGAGCTTTAAATAAATGGTGAAGTAAAATAGAGAAATGATGGGGCTTTCCAGCCGTTGACCCGTGTCTTAGTACTTACCGACCTCAATAGGTCCAGACCTCAATAAGCCTCTGGAGTCACTCTGTCGGAAATGCCATGGATACCAGTGTCCGTGTTCTGGGCACCACTTGTTGGGGTCCTTTAACGGACCGGGACCTAGCGGTCCGGAGTCGACGATAAGAAAGTGAAAGAGAAAGCCGGAGGGAGGGAGGAAGAGAGAGAGAGAAAGAAAGACACGGGGAACCAAGCTCTGATGGAGCAAAGGTGCTTTCATGATTTTTCTATGAGCATATATATAGGCTGTGGTACAAGATGTTTCTTATGACAGTGATAAAGATCAGAAAACCAAATGTACAGTAACTGTTACCAAGGGAACAAAGGATAATAATGGTCACAAGATCAGGAGACAACCCATATCTTAAGAAAGAGGGCGAGACTAAGCAGTTTTGTCATAAAGAGAATGTTTTACTAAAGGATACCCAAGCCTGTCTCACTCAATGACCTCAGTCTTGAGAGCTGCGTGCAGTTCTACTCGCTTCTGGCAGAAGCTGATAAGGAACAGAGGATTTATGAGAAACAGCATGTAGGAATCCTCCCATCAAACATTCCCTGACACCAGGCTGGTATTTTTCTCACTGAAAAGGTTTTGGAATCCAGATCCACTTGTCAAGTCAATATAAGTGGCAAAAACTTTCAAGGTTTAATAGATACTAGGGGTTAATGTTTCCATCATCAGCTCTCAACATTGGCCTAAAACATGGCCAATTAGGCCTGCTCCAATATCTGTTGCAGGTCTAAGACAGACACAAGGACTAAAACAAAGCGCTATGGTATTGTCTTGTTCAGGGCCTGATAAGCAACCAGCTACTATCCAACCTTATATCGCTGATATACCTATCAATCTATGGGGTCATGATCTCTTAGAACAATGACATGCTGAGATACATATTCCTCCAAATCAATATAGTCACCAAATTATGTTCAATCAAGGTTATATACCAGAATTGGGACTGGGCAAAAATCAACAAAAAAGAATTTATCCTTTGACTACTCAAGATTTCAAACCACCTCCTTTTCACTAGTGGCCACTTCTCATATTAATCTTCCTCCACTCACATCCATACCTCTTAACTGGAAAACTGATCAACTTGTGTGGATAGAACAGTGACCTCTAAAACAAGAAAAATTCGAGGCTTTACATAAATTAGTTAATGAACAACTTAACAAGGGACATATTATTGAGTCCTTTAGCCCTTGGAATTCTCCAGTGTTCGTGATACAAAAGAAATCTGGTAAATGGAGAATGCTTACTGATATGAGAGCTCTTAATGCTGTTATTGTTCCAATAGATGCTTTGCAGCCTGGCCTACCTAATCCTAGTATGATTCCAACAAATTGGCATTTGTTATTGATCTCAAAGATTGTTTTTTCACTATTCCTTTACATCCTGATCAACCTAGATTTGCCTTTTAAGTTCCTTCCATTAATTTAAGGCACCACATAGAAAATTTCAATGGACTGTATTACCTCAAGGTATGCTTAACAGTCCCACCGTTTGCCAAAATTTTGTAGCCAAGGCTTTACATCCAATGCTACAATTCCCTCATGCATATATCACTCATTATATGGATGACACATTATGTGCCTTATCTGAAATTGATAGCCTACAGGAATTATTTTTAAAGCTAAAGGAATGTTTAGAATGTGCTGGCTTATATTTAGCTCCTGATAAATTATAATACACTGAACCTATTCAGTACTTAGAAAATACAGTCATCTGTACTACAATCAAACCACAAAAGGGGCAAATACACAAAGACTCAATTAAAACTCAAATGACTTACAAAAATTACTAGAGATATTAACTAGATTCAGCCTAAGTTAGGGATTCCAACTTATCCTTTATCCCATTTATTCTCTCTATTAAGAGGAAATCCAGAGCTTAATAGCTCCTGACAACTAACTCCTGAGGCTGGAAAAAAAAAAAAAAAACCAAGTAAGAATTATAAAACAAACTGTACAAACTGCCAAATAGACAAAATGGAACCTTTAGAGCCTCTCCAGTTATTTGTCTTTCCTACCCCTCATTCCCCTACTGGGTTGATTATAACAACTCCTTTAATAGTTAAATGGATATTCTTAGCTAATTCACAAACAAAATCTATTACCCCTTATTTAGATATGATACCCACTATAATTCTAAAAGGAAGAGAGCGTGTTCAATAACTTAGTGGACATGATCCCTGCCTTATTTGCCCTACACTAACCTCCAAAAAATTAAAATATCCTCTTCAAAATCCCATTATCTTGGCAACTAGCTTTAGCTGAGTATGTTGGACAAATTGACAACCACTATCCTGATTTGCCTTTCTTACAGTTTTTAAAGCAAACAAGATGGATTTTGCCTAAAATTACTAATGTCAACCCCATTCTCTCCACTCCTTTCATTTTTACAAGATGACACTAGCCGAGGAAAAACAAGATATAAAGGTGCGTTTACACTAGTTATTGAAACACCTAGATACTCTACACAACAAACACAAATTGTAGCTATTACACACATATTACAAAATATTCTCTAAACAATTAATATCTTATCTGATTCTCAATATTCTGTACATGTCACTATACATATAGAAACAACAACTATTAAAGATACTATACCATCCACATTATATATACTTTTTACAAATTTACAACAGGTGATTAAACACCGACAATTTCCATTCTACATTACCCATATTTGGGCTCATACTAATTTACCAGAACCTTTAACAAAAAAATAATGCTCAAGCCTTTTATTTCCAACCTTTACAGAGACATCAGCTTTTCATGATCTGACACATTGTAATTCAACATATTTAAAAATCAAGTTTCATATCACTTGGACTCAAGCTAAACAGATTATGTAGACTTGCCTTGCATGTCAGACTATTGTGATAACCACATCTCCAACAAAAGCCAGGGAAATTAATCCCATGGCCTAAAGCCAAAACAGATCTGGCAGATGGATGTAACTCACATTCCATCCTTTGAAAAGTTTGCTTATATACATGTCACAGTTGATACTAACTCTAAATTTATCTAGACAACTGCTTGCTCTAGAAAATCTACAAAACATGTAATTTCACACATTTGCATAGCTGCTTTGTTACTATGGGCCTCCCACAAAATATAAAAACAAACGATGGCCCGGCTTACACTAGTACTGCTTTTAGAGATTTTTTTAAAGTCTTGGTCTATAAAACATCAGACAAAAATCCCCTATAATCCCCAAGGACAAGCTATTGTAAAATGAGCTAACAGATCTCTTAAAAAAATATTACAAAAACAGAAAGGGGAAGATGGAATGTCACTTCCCTACAGCAAAAGTTACGTAAAGCATTATTTACTTTAATTTTTTTGCATCAAGATAATGATTTCACTGCAGCAGAATGACATTTTACAAAGGAACAAAAAGAAATTCACCCCAAACCATCTGTTAGATGGTATGATCCAGTAACACACTCGGGGCATGGGGGGATCTGATAGCCCGGGGAATGGGTTTCGCTTGTGTTTCACCAGGTGATTCAGAAGCACTTACTTGTATTCCCTCACCACCATCTGAAACCATATCATGAGCGAACTCCCGCAGAAGAGAGGCTTTGCATGAGACAGAGAGCACCCAGTAATGAGTTTCAAAGGTCTGAGTCTGAAACAAAGATAACAATTTCCCTCCCTTTGACACATTGGAACAAGATCCCCAACTGGGGACAAATTAAAAGTTTAAGACAGAAATCAGAGGAGATCTTAGAAAGCGAAGGGAAAGCTGTCACTCCTAACAATCTGGTTGTTGCCATGTTTGCTCCTATCACCACCACAGTGAGTATACCCCTAGCAGCAGCTGAATCTAAAAATTATACTTATTGGGCATATGTACCTAACCTCCCATTACTAAAGTTGATTGGGGGGATTCTATGATCCCCGTTTATGTTAATGATTCTTCCTGGATACCAGGACCTGAAGATACACGTCTTCCTCTTTTTAAACAAGAGGAAGGGACTCCCTTCAATGTTACTTATGGGTATGTATCCTGGCAAATTTGTGTAGGACCAGCTACAGAATGTCTTAAATTATCTACATAAGCCTAACTGTTCACTACTTCTTTAAATAGTAACCATACTAATGTTTAGTTATATCTTCTCTCTGGTCTGAGTTTTGCTTATAACAACTCAGAACCCAATAATGACACCAACTCAGACAGACCTTTATACGAACATCACAAGCTGTAGACTGAAAAACAAGATCGTATTCAGTGGGATAATTGCCATGGGACTGAGGGAGTAATTTTGATTAATGGTTCCTATGGAATTGGATAGGACTGGTCCCCTATCGGGTATGCAGTCTCTAATTGCTCTCTTCAAAATCAGTACTGCAATCCTCACAAAAGGCTGCATTGGCAGGTGCACAAAGTCTTTAATCATACTAATATTACCACTCATTCAAATCATCCAATTATATGACATGGTAAAGGCATGTCATCCCCCCTTCCCACAATTGGATCAAGAAAGAGGGCAAAGAGAGATTTGGCAATTGGCTTTAAGTCTTAAAAAATTCCAAATTTGGGATGGACATTATTCTGATAAAACTAATTATTCATTGACATTTAATGCTAGTACAAAATATTATTTTCAGGCTTGCATAAGAGATTCTATGTACTCTTGAAAGGAACAATTTCTATCAATGAATGTGTACAAGAACTTTCTTGCTGAGACTGCAAATTATATACCTGCTTAAATTGGTCACTTTATAATTCTAATCACTCATTTGTTATATTAAGAAGGAGATTGGGAATATGGCTTCCAGTAAATGAAATCAGACCTTGGAAATACTCTCCTGAAACACATGGTCTTTTAAAGGTTATAAATAAAGTACTGCAATGTTCCAAAAGGTTTATTGGGCTCCTTATAGCAGCTATTGTGGAAATTATTGCTATAGCCATGACTGCAACAGTAGCCGGGGTGGCACTGCATCAAACTATACAAATGACTACATTTATACAGCAGTGGCATCAAAATGCAAGTTCTGCCTGGGGAAGTCAAACCCACATAGACCAAGAAATTAATAAATGATTGATTTAGAAGATGCAGTTCTACTACTAGGGGATGAAGTACAAAATTTAAAATTACAAATTCATCTTAAATATGATTGAAATATGTCTTAATTTTGTGTCACACCTCATAAGTATAATGAAAGTGCATATACTTGGGATCAGTTATCTAAACATCTGAGAAGACATGTTCGTAATAAACTATCCTTAGATATTTCCCAATTACAGGCTGCTATTTCTAATATGCAGATTGCTCACTTACAATTAGTCCCAGAAACTGATTTATTGGAAAAAATTGAGGAAAACTTACATAAACTTAACCTCATTATGTGGATTAAAACTTTAAGGAGAGGATTGCTTGGTACTATAATATCAGGATGTATATGTTTAACTGTGTTATGTCTAGTCCTCAGATACACAAGAAAAACCATCCGAGAATTGATGAAGAAAGAAGTTGTTTAGATGGCATATCTACTCCTGTAAAAACAAAAAGGGGGATATGTAGTGGAAATTCCTAATAACGTACTTTCACAGCCTTGAGAAATTCCACAGAAATAACACCTGGAAAAAGAGCATATATTAAGAAACTATGTTAATGATTATCTTTCATGTTTTTCTTAAGAATAATCGCCTTGTTACAAACCCCAAGGCCAGACCCAGAAGGGAGTATGACTGGGATCATGAAAGCATGAACTTTGGAACACTGGGTTGGCGTCGGGCATGAACGCTGCCTACACACTTTCTGATTGTTCCCGAGACTACCGCAGAAGAGAACGGCCAGGGGTAAAAACAAGGAGATCTGGACTATGTCAATGTAGTCCCTGACATTTAGTAATATGTGACTAAAACAACAGGTGTGTTGAGAAAGATAAGGCCAAAGAAACTCTTGTAGTCTGCAATTAGGAATAAAAGCTGGACTCAGAGTGGACTCTGCACCTCAGTCCAGTAGAGGCTGCAGGTCCCCTGACCCGTTGCATCAGATTTCGTGTTCTGTCTTCATTCTCGTCACTCGCTCCCAGACCTTTAGAGCAACAATAAGGCACACCTATGCTATGAAAAACAGTGTGGCAATTCCTCAAAAAATTAAAAATAGAACTATCCTATGATCCAGCTATCTCATTTCTGGGTATATACCCAAAAGAATATAAAAGATCAAAAGCACGATCTCAAAGAAAATCGCACGTCCTTGTTTATAGGAGCACTATCTGCAGTAGCCAAGAGGGAGAAGCAATTCAAACGCCCATTGATAGACACGTGGATAAACAAGTTGTGGTATATACATACAAAGGAACACCATGGAGCCTTTAAAAGGAAGGACATTCTGTCACATACTACAACATAGATGAAACGAGGATATTTTGCTAAGTTAAACAGTAACAAAAAGAGGAATGCCATTTGATTCCACTTATAAGAGGTATCTTAGTAGTCAAATTCATATAAATAGAAAGTAAGGTGATAGTTATTGGGAGGGAGGAGTTATTACTCAATGGGTATAGAGTTTCACATTTGCAAGGTGAAAGAGATTTGAACATCTGTTTTACAATAATGTATATATACTTAACACTACTGACCAGTACATTAAAAAATGGTTAAGATGGTAAATTTTGTGACATGTGTTTTTTACCACAACGAAAAAGATACAGCTTTTTGTCCCATTGAACTTTTAGATGTCTGGGGTGAAAAATAAACTGGATGAGATTAACAACAGATTAGATGTTGCAGGAAAAAAGATTGGTGAATTTTAAAAAAACAGTAAATAAGAGAAACTATCCAAAATTAAAACCAGAAAAAAAAATAAAGAAAGCATTAGTGATATGTGAGATAACTTCAGGAGGACTAATACATATGCAATTTTAGCCCTAGAGGGGAAAAAAGCAGGGGAAGATAATTTATTTGAAGACATAGTTGGTTGACAATTTTCTATATTTGGTGAAAATTATAAACCCACAGATCCAAGAAGTTCAGTAAACCCCAGGCACAAGATACATAAACCATGCCAAGGCAAATCAGTCACATTGCTCAAAACCAGTGATAAAGAAAAAATTTTAAAAAGAGCCAGAGAATAAAGACTGATGCACAGCTCTTTTTTGGAGTTACAGATGTGTTTTTATCTTGACTGTAAACATATGTAAAGTGTATCATGTTGTACATTTTATATTTGTGCGGTTTATTTTTTGTCAACTATAACTCAAAAGAACTTTTAGAAAAGTCAACTGGTTGATCAAAGAAATCTGTCTCCATTACTTCTGTAACAGTTATTGGGCTGGCTTTATCTTCCTTTTATTCAGCTGTGTTCATGGTCCCATAATAGGGAAATATTTTTTTTAAAAAACTGAAACTTAAGATTGCAGTAGGAATGTCTTTGCATAAAATCATAAATTCATCTTTTTAAAACATAAAATTAAACATTAAAAGACAATCTTTCCTATTTCCTTTACAAAGGAAAAAAATATTTATTTTCCCAAGTGAATATTTAAAATTTCTCTGGGAGAGGAATTTTTTAAGAATTCTCTAGTTTTTAAATTGAAGTATAGTTGATTTACAATGTTGTAGGATTTTACTGAACAGCAAAGTGACTCAGTTATATATACATGTATGTATACATTCTTTTTAAATATTCTTTTCCATTATGGTTTATCTCAGGAGACTGGGTATAGTTCTGTATGCTATACCATAGGGCCTTGTTCTTTATCTATGCCAAATGTAACAGTATGCATTTACACTCTAAACTCCGAGTCCATCCCTCTCCTTCTTCCTCCCTCCCTCTTAGCCACCACGAATCTGTTCTCTATGTCTGTGAGTCTGTTTCTGTTTCCAAGATAGATTCAATATTGTCATATTTTAGATTCCACATATAAGAGATATCATATGGTATTTCTTTTTCTGACTTATTTCACTTAGTATGATAATCTCTAGTTGCACCCATGTTGCTGCAAATGGCATTATTTTATTCTTTTTATGCCTGAGTAGTATTTCACTGTATATACATACAACATCTTTCTTATCTATTCATCTGTCGATGAACTTTATCCATGTTTTGGCTATTCTGAATAGTGCTGCTATGAACACACAGATACATGTATCTTTTTGAATTATAGTTTTGTCTGGGTATTTGTCCAGGAGTGACATTGCTGGATCATATGGCAACTCTATTGTTAGTAAGAAACCTTCATACTGTTTTCCATAGTGGATGTACAAATTTACATTCCCACCAACTGTGTAGGAGGGTTCCCTTTTCCCCACAGTCTCTCTAGCCTTTGTTATTTGTAGACTTTTTAAAAATGGCCATTCTGACTTCATTATAGTTTTGATTTGCATTTATCTAATCATTAGTGATGTTGATCATCTTTTCTTGTGTCTACTGGCATCCATATGTCCTCTTTGGAGAAATGTCTATTAAGGTCTTCTGCCCATTTTTTTTCTGCCCATTTTTTGATTGGGCTGTTTGTTTCTTTGTTGTTGAGTTGTATAAGCTATTAATCTATCTTGGAGATTAAGCCCTTGTCAGTCTCATCATTTGCAAATATTTTCTCCCATTCTGTAGGTTGTCTTCTTCTTCTTCTTCTTCTTTTTTTTTTTTTTATGGTTCCCTTTGAAAAAGCAGAGACATTACTTTGCTAACAAAGGTCTGTCCAGTCAAAGGTATGGTAGTCATGTATGGATGTGAGAGTTGGACTGTGAAGAAAACTGAGCACCGAAGAGTTGATGCTTTTGAACTGTGGTGTTGGAAAAGACTCTTGAGAGTCCCTTGGACTGCAAGGAGATCCAACCAGTCCATCCTAAAGGAGATCAGTCCTGGGTGTTCATTGGAAGGACTGATGCTGAAGCTGAAACTCCAATACTTTGGCCACCTCATGTGAAGAGCTGACTCACTGGGAAAAACCCTGATGCCGGGAAAGATTGAGGGCAGGAGGAGAAGGGGACGACAGAAGATGAGATAGCTGGATGGCACCACCGACTCAATGGACACGAATTTGAGTAAACTCCGGGAGTTGGTGATGGACAGGGAGGCCTGGTGTGCTGCAATTCACGGGGTCGCAAGGAGTCGGACTTGACTGAGTGACTGAACTGAACTAAACTTGCTGTACAAAAGCTTGTAAGTTTGATTAAGCATCAATTCATTTATTTTTGTTTTTCATTCTTTTGCTTTGGGAGATGGACCTAAAAAGAAAGCAGTCTGATTAATGTGGAGACATAAGTGACTGATATAAAACCCTTTCTAAGAACAACTCTTTAAGGGAGGGGAGAGAGAGTGAAAAGCTAAAGGCAGGGTGACTTTATGTTTCAGTTTTTCTGGGACCTTATTGGTTTGTGCTTTCTGTCACAGCATAATTATTAATAATGTTGCCATTTTTTCTTAAGATGATATTAGCTTAAATAATAAATTATATGGTCATCTACCAAGTCTGGCTAAGATGTAGGAGATGGGAAAAAGGGGCAGAAGTACATGGAGAAGACAAGTCAAGTTTTTCTGCATCTCATAGTTGCCTAAATCCACTGCTCCCATATCAACCTATCAAGAGGGCATGAATCAGTGGTAGGAATGGTACTAATCCAAGTATAAGGAGAAAAACAGACTTTAGTAAAGGAAAAAGAAGTCAACACACAAATAGAAACAGATAAAATGACAAAAGGAAGTCTGGGCTGAGGCCAAATTTCATTCCTGAGTTCCATTATTGCTGAGGGAGGTCCAGCTGTCTTCCTATTCTGTTTATTGCTTGATTGTTTATTCTTCTTTGGATTCCACGAGTTAATACATTCTCAGTTTGTCATGGACATCTGCTTTATTTAATCTGGAATGTTCCATTATTCCTTCTTCCATTAAAAATTTTTTTTTGACTGCACTGGGTCTTCATTGCTGCGTGTGGGCTTTCTCTAGTTTTCAGGATTGGCAGCTACTCTCTGCTTGTGGTGCATGGGTTTCTCATTGCAGTGGCTTCTCTTGTTGCAGAGCTTGGGCTCTAGAGCACAGACTCAGTAGTTGTGAAACATGGGCTTAGTTGTCCCACAGCATGTGGAATCTTCCAGGACCAGGGATCAAACCCATGCCCCCTGCATTGGCAGGCAGATAACAACCACTGGATCACCAGGGAAGTCCTCCATTATTTATTCTTTTGAAGTTAAATCCTTTTTCCTTTGGGAATTACCCTTTCCTGACTCCATATTTTTCCAATGGAGCTGCCTCTGCAACATCCTTATTGTGGGGATAAGCACAAGACCCAGACTAGGCCAATCATAGCATCTCACCCTTCTGACCGAAAACAGTGACCCTAGGATGGGCTCAGGACCGCTGCCCCACTTGTTTGAGCTTTTCTTTGGAATTTTTGAGTGAAGATCCTTAGAGAGGAAAGTTTTCTTTCTTCTGGGATTTCTATGCGGGGTGACTTGAGTTCTGAGCTGTTCACAGAGAGAGTTGTCATGTGTAAACCAAAGTAAGGATGGACTCAAATAAAATGAAAATAAGTATTCAAATCAGCATCACTGATTTCACTTTTTTCTCTCCTCTTATAGCACCCATGGAGGTTTTAGTTACGGTTACATGGTGTGTGTTAGAATGATTTTACCACTTAGTGACACAGCCTGAAGCTGAGCCTGTGATCTCATTGAGGCTGCACTTTTATTGGAGAGGTTTTATTGGAGGGTTCTTCTGGTAAAGAGCTAAAGAAGGAAGTACCATCCATCCTAAAGTCCTTCTCCTCACAGCCTCCTAATAATGTCTCTGCAGTTCTCCTTTATCTTTTCAAGGGATTTATTGCCTGCTTTTGACCATAAGTTGCATCCACTGATTATCCTTTGTCACTTCACTGCATCCCACCATTACCTCAGCAGGGAGATGGGGTGGTGTTGGAGCTCTGACTAGCAGGTGAATTGAGAGCTTCCAGGGGGAAGCAACTCCCTTCCAGCAGTAAAGGCAGTCACCTGCTCTGGTCTCCCCATGTCTTTGTCAGGGAGCCTCCAAAATCTCAAGGGAGGGGGCTCTGGGTTACTCCATGGGCATAGCAGCTGAGGGCAGGGTGTGAT